GGGGCGATCGCGGCAGGCGGTGGCGGGGCGGGCCGGGCCTGGCAAGGGCACCGGGCTCTGCCGAAGAAGAAAACCTGTGTTGTGATGTCTGGGCTCTGAGCCGTCCTCGAAAGGACGCGGTGACTCTCCAGGCCTTTGCATCGGACAGGCATAAGAAAAGATGACCTTGGCTTTTCAGGTCATCCTCGGCAAATATTTAGGGGCTTCGTTTCGTTACAGTTTTTAGCTGTTGCATAGTCGATCCAGTTACAGGTACGCTTACCTGATTATACACCAGCGATACCTTACTGGATTGGGTTGGTGTAAGAGCTGTCTTAAAGAACATAGCACCTACTGTAGCAGTTTCTTGTATCCCTCTTCTTCTGGGGGACTGGTGGCTACAGCACCTCCTTGGTTTGGTAGGTAACTGTATGGCATGTGTGCTTCTCTTGGGGTGAGTTACAAGAGAAAGAACAAATGTTTGTCCTAAGCATAAAACCCTCTTATACATAAGAAAAATAGACCTCTAAACATGAAAAAGAAAATCCGTTTTGTTGTAAGGGTGATCAAACACTGGAACAGGTTCCCCAGAGTAGTTGTGGAGTCTCCATCTCTGAAGATATTAAAAACCTGACTGGATGTGTTTTCCTGAGTGACCTGCTGTAGCTGCTCCTGCTTTAAGTGGGCTGGGGTTGGACTGTGATCTCCAGAGGTGCCAGCCTGAGCCGTTCAGTGAATCTGCAAGTATGCCACTGTAGCTGTGCCAGGCTCTTCTGTTAATGAACTTCAATCTAAAATTTTGGTCCAGACAAAGACAAAATACAAAACCATGTGCTCGTGTACTTAGTGTTTTTGTTGTTCCTGTGAAAGCGCTTCTGAGGCTTTGTAGCTGGATCAAGTAACTTGCTGAGCTAGCTGAAAAATAACTGGGGAAAAAACTTATGTTTTTATTTAGATCTGCGAATACTAGGGTGGGCAAGTAAGAGACAAAAGAAATGGGTGTGAGAGAGCGGGGCAGTTCTTGTTAACAACACTTGCATTCTAATACGGCATAGGAGTTGTAAAGCATTGTTTTGAATCACAAAACAGAGTAGTGGTCTAGTCTGAATCTTGTCACCAAGTTTTTGATATGTAATTGAAGCTGTTTCTTAGCTGAACCTAGTGAAGATTTATCTCAATTAGGTATTGTAGATCCCTGAACAATTGGTAGGAATTTGCTTATGTTGAATGGTTGTGTAGGCAGGACTGGCAGGTATCTTCTTTATAAGTGCTTTGAGGAATTTTCCCTTTTATCATCATCATCCTGACTTTCTTTTTTTCATGTTTAAACTCGATTGAATGAACTCTGAGAGTCATAAATGTTCTTCTCTGCCATTCCCCTCATTTGCTTATCTGCTCTTGTGTCACCTGTTTTGTATCTTAAGATACAGTGCTATGAATGTTCCTGCTTCATATGTATATCCACTCTGTTGAATGCCCTGAAAGCAGATTTAATAGCTGACAATGGAATTATTAAGTTTAGTGTAGAGATTAGTTTGGTTTTCTATTAATTCTCTCCAACTGACTTTAAACTAACTGTCCTGTATTGCTTGCTAGGAGAAGCAGCCATGGCTGGACATGACTCAGGATCTCAACACCAGTTCACTGGATTTCAGAAATACTTCAATTCCTATACCATCACAGGCAGGAGGAATGTATGTATTATGTATATTAACTTTTGTAGTCTAGTATAATGCTGTTTTCTTAGTTTCAGACTGAAACTAAACTGAACTTTTATTTCTTTCAGTATGTCATAGCAACATACACAAGTATTGCAATGCTCATCTTGTATTTCAAGCTTAGACCTAAAAAGAAAACTCCTGCTGTGGCAGATAAGTAAATGGTAAGTGGCTGGTGTTCTTCCAGGACCAAAATGCTTCAATTCCAGCCCAGGAGGAAAAAGTGATGAAGGATAAGTTGCTAATAATGCAATGTAATTAGACAGAGAGGAACACAGGCAGGTGAACTTTGTATTTATCATTTTAAACCTCAGTTAAACTACAGCATCAGCTTATCTTTGGAGCATTGTAAATGAAGTAGGTTGTTAAAGGGGGGTGCAGAAACTGTGGGATACTAGTATTCCGTTTGTTCTGGTAAATGGGATTAGGGAAGGCATGCAGGGAGGAAGAGTAAGCAAGGAAGAAGGAATGGAAGGATGTTGCAGCTAGGTGTATCAAGCTTTGCGTGCAACTATTAGGTGCCTTGGATCTGCCCTTTTTCTGTAAAATAGGGATAACTTGCTTTGTAGGTTATTGAAATGATAAAGTAGTACTTGAGTACTTATTTCTTAGTTGTATTAGAGAATTCCAAGCAGAGATTAATGCAGTTTGTTAAAACCTTCCTTTGAACAGAGTAAAGGAGCACCATACAATGGAACTGTATATATTGCACACCTGATTATGTAAGGCCCGTATAGAAGTGATTGATTGGACTTGTTCTTGTATAGCAACAACCAAGTGTTAGAAAATTCTAGAGTCACTTTCAAATGCAAAATTTCCACTGAAATGGCATTTTGGAAAAAAAACGTGGGCTGTCCTCATAGTCTGCAAAAAGGGGTAGAAAACAATAACCTTGAGCATCACTGTTAAATGGACATCCATAATTTCTTCCTGGGTGTGCTGAAATCTGCCTGCTCGTAGCTAAAATTGTTTGGGCTTGGGGAAGGGGGATGCTCAGTTACTAGTACTGCTGTGCAAGGCTTGCTATGTTTGATCTTTCTTCTCTCGGCAGGTTGCTGGCATGTCTGAACCTCCAGTCTGTGTCACTGTAATGCAAGCTGATGACCTGTCGTGGCTAATAAAATATCAATAATTACTTGTTTTATTGGAAATATGAAATGGTGCAAAAAAGCATAAATGTGGCACTTTGCTTTTTTTTCCTCTGTCAAAAGTATTTCTTTGTAGTGGAGGTGGAGTAGCTGACTCCTGTCGTTACTATCTTAACTAAACTCTTCTGCTGATAAAACACATCCTAAAGTGTTCCGAGCACCTGTTAGTAACTTAGGAAAGACCTCAGCAGCATGATGACCGTACCAGCACAGAGCTTACAGCTGATCAAAGCGTCTCCATGCTGCCATCTCATAGTGGGTAACAGTAAGCTTACCAGGTTTGCAGTCACCTCGTTGCTCCCATTTTTTTGCATTCCAAGCTGGTGAAACAGTGAATTCTCCACTATAATAATACAGTGCAGATTGCAGCTTCTGCCTCAGTTGTCTGTGTTTTGCATACAGCCTGTTTGGTTTTGATGGAAAACCTCCCAAAATAGACTGATAGTATTATGGTATTTGAGCTTCTTCTGTTACTGGCTTCTCTTGCAGAGAGAACACTGCCAGAAAGAAAATGGCTTACTTTGCTGATGTTGAGCTCTCATAGCTCTGCATGTTCATAAATGTGACTTAAGTAGTTCAGTCCTTATTTTTCCTGGACATAGCTTCTTAATAAATGAGGTGTTCCTGCCACAATTAGATATATGGAGCACCTTCCCTGCCCAACACTAAAACTTCTCCATCACGTCCTCCACGGCGTCTTTCTGTACCTCAGTTAAAACTCAGTACCTTCCTTCGATGTCCCACTACTTCTGATCTGTGAATGGGATTATGTGGTGCTGTGCTTCTTGGAAGGGTGCCAGCAGCAGGGGTTGAACCTGGAACTTCTGGTGCCAAACTATGTAAATATACTTCCCAAACAGGGCAGCAGGATGTAGGCATGGTTGCTGGAGAAAAAGGAGAGATAAATTACAGGGTCTTTGTGCTCTCTCACTCTCGTTCATGTATTCTTAAAGCCATTTGTACGTGCTGGGCCTTCTGAATAAATCTAGTTGTCCTCCTCCTATGAGTTTGTCTGCATAAATGGCCTCTGCTGTATACACATTTCCAGATGAATAATGGTTGTTGTAACAGTGTGGTGATCTAATCAGCCAGAACCTGTCACCCACAGCTAGAAGGAGATTACATGAAATGGCTCCTTGTCAACTGTTTCTGAATTACTTTGTTTCTCTTAGCAGAGCGCTCACGGTCACAAGCACTGCTCTTGCTTCCATTGCAGCCATCAAGGGAAGAAAATACCTCCTTGTAACACAGTGGCACAAACTATGTGTTTTAGTATTTATTACGGTATCAAAAGTATAAAACTGTACAAAATACAAAGGCAGAACATAGCAGCGTTTTCTTTAAGCCAACAAACCTGTACATGCTTTGTTTCAGGTAACTTGTTTGATTCACCATAACTGTACTTAAATCCAGCTGGTCATATTGACAGCTGGGAAATTTTGTTGAGGTACCATTACACACAAAAAAAAAATAATCCCTAATAATAAAGATTTCCAGGTGAGCTTCATAATGAATTTTCCACCCTTTATTTTGATGTATAATGGCTGTAATATACCTTTACTCCAAGTGTTAGTCAGAGAAGGGATGAGAGGGGAAACAGTTCTCAATTTACCTTAGAAATATCAAGTCTTGTTTTTATTTTCACTAGAGACCCAGCAGATTATTCAAGTGTCCAAGCCCTTACTGGAAAGTAATGAGGAACACAAACCAGATTTCCCTGTATACAGCTTGTAAGAGATTTAAAAAAACCCCAACAACAACAAAAAAACACCACCTCACCAAACTAGGCCTGTGCTTTGGTGGTGGTGTTTTCTGTTCAAAGACACAGAAAGAGCCTCTACATCCCACTGTTTTGCATGTTTTACTCTTCCTTAGAAATAAAGCACTGAGCTTTATTTGTTGTCCAGGAGAGCTTACTGGGGTACAGTGGTTTTGTGGGTAGAAGTAGTCACTTCAGCAGACAAGCTGGCCTTTCAAAAGCAAACTGGTAATACATTCAGCCTGATGAATCCTTTTACTCTGCAACAATGCTTCCATTTCTTAGCTAGTTTTACATTTTGATATATTAAGCCTTAAGCAGAAAAGATGCAGGTTTTAAAGTTCTTTTAGATCTAATACAACATAAAAGGGTTTAAGTGTACTTTTTTAATCACGGCTATTTCACTTGTACCTCACCTTCCCTTCCCCCCCCCCGCCCCATTTTTTAATACAATAAAGTATGAAAGTACATAAAAGTTAACATTGCACTTCTGGTTGCTTATGACACTTACAGCACTGGCGACCTGTGAAAACAGAATAACAAGATCTGCGTTTCCAATACCTCAAAAGCGTGCAGCAGTTTGAAATCTTGCCAGGACTTAGTCCTTGGATGCATAAAACCCACCCATGTGTCTTCATGGCCGTTCCCCACAAGCCTCTGCCTGCAGGACCTACTCTTTCAATGCCCCGCGTTTGTTGCCGTGATGCTCTCACCATACCTGTTGCCCAGCCCAGGCTACAGTGAATCAAACTACATTCTTCTTTTCTGAAACTGAACAGTTTTTGCTTGCGTTTGAGACTGATTAAACATTTGCTAACCATAAATTAAGTGCTTTAAAAAAAAAAAAAAATCATTTGAGAACACATACAAAGACTGTTAACTCTCCACAAGTTTCAGCAGAGCTCAATACCATTTCTGAGAGGAGACAGCCATTTTCATATATTTTTCGTTTTTCTTTTTTCTTTTTTTAAATCAAAAGCACCATGAACAATTCCTTCTTTTACAGCCACGATGTCTTGTCAGCCTCCAGCATTTTCAAACTGGATAAATACGAAATAGCAGAGCTGAAAAACGCTGTTTGCATTAGTTTACATAGTTTCATTTTTCCTGCCACAGACTAGTGGGATCCACCTGTACAAGACATTCCTCCTCGTCTCACATCCTGAGGTCACAACCGCGATGACTTGGCACAGTCAGTCTTACAGCTTCCCCATTTACTGTGAACTGTAGGCTCCCGCAGCCAGCAGCAAGTTTCTGCGTGTAAAATGGAGGTGTACAACTGGGGTTGACTTGGTCATGTATGTACCTAGTAGTAAGTCCTGTGAGTTTTCAGGCAAGTTTATATGTCCAGTGGCTGTAGTAAAGTCATCAGTTTCTAAATCCTCAAATGCCTTCACAGCATCCCACAGACGAACTGTGTTATCCATTGAGCCTAGAAAGAAAAAAGAATAACAGTTTATTTTCTTTTATTAATAAAAAGGTGTATTAAAAAGTTACAGGGGAGCAAGTTAACAGAAATTAAAGCTCAAAAAGCAGGTTTGCTCTTAACCGTAGACTTACAGCCTCGTCCTGCAAGGAAACAGGCTTTAAGAAGCCTCTGACGTACTGACTGCACATATAAAGATTACCAGGATTTCGGCTTTCCTGGTATCTAACCTGAGTGCCCTGTGGATAAAGCACAAAGAACTACTCTCTCAAAATGCTTGGGTTTGGATTGTATGATCTAGCACCGAGAGCAGGACCATCCTGTGGGCTAGATACCAATTTCAGGAAAAGTTTATGATTCTAAGTCTCATAATAACAGCTTCTTTGTTTGATACAAGGAAGACAAGAATTTTGCAGGCCCAGTGTCCTCTGCTTTCACTGGAGCATTGGTAGATGAATTGAAGTAACCACCGAGCAGGCTGGATCAAACCTGCACCCTGCCTGTTAGCTTTTACTCCCACAGTAGTGGCTCACGGAGGATTCTCACTGCACTGCGTTTAGGAACATACTAGTAAATAAATCTAGAATATCCCTAGCCTGGTTTCATGAGGAAATTACCCTGATGCAATTATAGTGTCTGTCCACCGTTTCTTCTGTCAGTAACTTGAACTTGTTTGCTAATTTCAACCAGTTGACAGAACAAATCAAGTTTCAAATTCATTAAATCCTCACACATTTTAAGAAAACAGTTCATTAAACATGGAGAGACAAAACTTTGTGCCTCCATGAAGGGAAAACTGTCAAAAGAGCTCTGCTATATTAGACCCCAGAGAATCCATGTGGACAGGCAGGAAAAATAAGCAGGCTCCACAAGTTCTGCTGCTCATAGACTTAATTGATAATATTACACACACATTTCTGTATCAAAAATTTACCATGAAGAAATAGCAAGGGTGTGGATAACTCATCTTCCTTTCTATCCCTTCCTCTCTCTTCTTCTCAGCCCTGCTGTATGTCCCACTCCCATTCCAGTATCCTGTGCCTCTAGTCCAGCTACTTGTTGCCTGCCCCCCACACTGTACCCAGATCCCAACCTTCACTACCATCCAACTGCATAACACCTTCAGTTCCTAGAAGAGCGAGGGGTCATACTTCACAGTCCAGTGAAGTACTCGCCTTCTACCCGTGGCTTTAAGTTGCTGCTTTTGGTCAGCAAGTGATTCTACTTTGTCTTCCTCAATTTAAGGAGCCAATTTTATCATTCCTCTTCAGACTTGTGGAACACAACCAAAACTTCACCATTTCCAGCGAATTTTACCTGATGCTAAAATCTCCCCATCTCTACTGAATCTGAGCGCGTAGATAGTGTCCGTGTGCCCTTTCAACTCTCCAACCATCAAGCCATGTCCAATATCCCACAGCAGAACTCTTCCATCTGTTGCTCCAGTAGCCAGGAATCGTCCGTTAGGAGAAAATGCCAATGAATGAATTGGTCCCTAAACCAGAGATTTGGGGAGCGACCAAACAAGTTAATGAAGTCTACTCACATTCAGTCAGTCAAGCCGTACTCGTTCTGAACACTACACTCTTCAGAATCTCATCACAGAAGTAAAATCACTTTCATACTGAGAGTGATATGCCTTTACCTTATGCCCAGTGAATATTCTTACACAATTCCCATTCAAAACATCCCAGAGACGTATTGTCCTGTCGGCCGAGCCCGTGGCAACATAGTTGGAGTTTGGATGAAATCGGGTACATGTCACATCAGCAAGATGGCCAGCAAATATCCGTAAAGGCTGGTAGTGATCTGTTGCCCACAGACTGAAAAGAAAAGCTTTATTAATAAAAGAACCCTAATGAAGTTCATTATCTGTACCTGCTGCAGCGGGCCCAGAGGAGGGCCACAAAAACGATCAGAGGGATAGAACACTTCTCCTGTGAGGACAGGCTGGGAGAGTTGGGGTGGTTCAGCCTGGAGAAGAGGTGGTTCTGGAGAGACCTTATAGTGGCCTTCCAGTACCTTAAGGGGGCCTACAGGAAAGGTGGGGACAAATTTTTCAGCAGGGCCTGTTGCAACAGCACAAGGAGTAACGGTTTTAAACTGAAAGAGGGAGATTTAGACTAGATATAAGGAAGAAATGTTTTACAATGAGGGTGATGAAACACTGGAACAGGTTGCCCAGAGAGGTGGTAGAAGCCCCATCCCTGGAAGCATTCAAGGGCAGGTTGGATGAGGCTCTGAGCAATCTGATCTAGTTGATGTCCCTGCTCACTGCAGGGGGGTTGGACTAGATGACCTTTACAAGTCCCTTCCAGCCCAAACTATTCCATGATTATATGATCTGTTGCACAATGAAGAATAAAAGGAAGCAATTATGCAGTGGTTTCTTACTGGTCAGTCTATTGAATTAGCGGGATCTGTTTTGGAAAAGTGTATTTTTCAGAAGGGAGAAATAGAGAGTATTCTGTCAAGTTGTTAAACAAGCGTAAGAGAATACTTCTAATCAGATGGTCACATACGAGGACATCATCTTTTTAATCATCAGATAATCTGATGTGTGTTGAAAAGAAAAAAACAAAACAAACCTACATTAAAACATTTGTTCAGTATTTTAATTGTCATGAAATAAACTTTATTTCCAGTAATAGGGTAGGCTAGAATATATCAGCTAAACACTTTCAGAGTCAATCCACCACAAACTGACCCAGACAAGTAAAAAACCTATCCAGTTTCTTACCGAGCCACTCTGTCGTGTCCCCCTGACACAAAGTAATAACCATAAGGAGAGAACTGTGTATCCCATACTGGATAGTTGTGTCCTTTATATCCCACCAAACATGTGAATGTTTGGAGACTCCACAATCTGACAGTGCCATCCTCAGAACAGGACAACAGATAGTTCCTGTCACAGGAGAAAGCGTAGCATATTACATACCAAACTTACACAAGGACTGTATAACCATTGCATAAACACTGTGAGATGTCTATGATAAGAAAAACTGTCCACTGATGTCCACTGAACAGCGTCTGCTTAGCGTGTCACATATAAATCAGCATTTTGCTGGGGTAAGCAACAGCAACCAATTCAAGCAGAATCCAGTCCTAGGCCTTATGCAAAAAGAAGAGAAACAACTGGATGTTGATGACTAATGCTGATGACACTTAGAGCAATACTGAGGGGGGGGGAACCCACACCAACACAGAGCTGGTCTTTACTCAGGAATTCCAGTTATATGAAAAAATGAATAGTAAACTGCAATGCTATGTTACTTTTTAATAAAAATCTGTAAGTATAACTCTAAATAAAATTTCAGGATTCCCTGAAACAGAATTCATATCATGTCCACATTCTCAATTCATAATTACAGACTATATTCATGTTCCACACAAAGTTTACTTCTCATCTCTGTTTCTGTGATGGTTGTTTCCTGACTAGACACAGGCAAAATCAAAACTTTAGACATTTCAACCTCCTTTCTACTGTCCAGACTCTTATAATTACATAATGGTTTTAAGTCTCTTAAAGACACTATTCCATACATTTTGAAAATAAAGTCTCAATAGAATATGAGAAACTTGAAGAAATGCAACAATATGCTGTTCAGTCTGTTTTGCAATACTGTAAGTGAAATCAATGTTGCAGAAATTTTCCTCTCTACAGTTCAGATAGTTAAAACCCAGCTTAAACTACAGTTTGCAAAAAAGATGGTCTATTTTGCCATCTGAGTCCTGAACCTCAAAAAAGGTGCTGGCATGCTCAACTCCAGTTAATTTCAGTAATAGCTGACAGTGCCCAACACCCTGAACATAATGAGCACTTACGCTTGCACAGTTTCTGATAAGCTGCATAAACAAGAATTGATTTAACCTTCTGGAAAAAGCTGCATTAAGAACATGTTTGCATTCAGTAGCATACAATTAAAACTCAAGATAAGCAAACTAGTTAGTTTGTAAACTCATTTTACCTATCAGGACTGAAGCTGGTGCCATAGACAGGTCCACTGTGACCATACAAAATCTTCAACTCACTTGCTGTTTTCTCATCCATGATCCTCTCCAAGACATCATCTGATTCTTTGTCGATGAGACTGAGGTCTGCAATATATCAAAGTTCACGTATCATAATAACTGTCAGAAGGTCAGAGATAAATGCCATGAACAGGAAAACAAATAATATTCCTTCTAAGAGAGGCAAGTATGACGTGAACATCACAAAGTACTTGGGAATTGATAAGTTTGTAATACACAATGGCATTTAAAATATTTCTTACCATTGTAAAAGGTGAAAATAATGCTTTACATAAATAATCACTCTTTCTGAAGTCTTCACTGAGCTAAACTAATCCTGATGTGCACTGGTTTTCATATACGTTTTGTTCAGCCTCCAAACACAACATCTTCTTGACAGAGATGCCAAATTTTCAGGCCTTTTCCCAGGAAGTTAATATGCCACAAACATGCTTTACAGACATGTTTTGACAGCTGTACACCACACACAACTTAAAATAACTTTTAGTCTGTAGGCTACTGTTTGCTGAACAGCATGACCACATCCCAGGTAGATACCAGGATTAAGAAACATTTGCATGGCACCTAGCTTCAACCACAGCGTATTCTTACACAAACAGCAGAATCAAAGCAGCCTGGTTTCCATGAATTTGCATAGGTGTTCAGCTACAGGACATTCTCCTCCATCCTTTACAGAGTTACCTCCTATAATTTCCTCCAGGGTACCTCTAGTCTCTCCCCCAGGCCATCTAAACACAACGGCCTACTACACCCTGTAGTTACCATTCAGTTAAGAAGCAAGTTGGCTACTTCCACACTAGTTATGGCTAGTTCCAAGCTCTGTGCACTGACCACCTCGCAGCAGATGTAGACAGATTTCTCGCACCTTTCAAAGCGTTTCTAATGGTAGCATATGACATGCGATCATATGTCTGTGCACATATTATTTCTTCAAAGGGAAAGCATCTCACTGCTGAAGATAACTCTCCTGTCAGACCCCCTTCTCTGTTCATGCAAAACCCAGCTGTCACAAGCAATGCATGCTCATATTAACTGTTACTGTCTTAATTACCTGCTGCTGTTTTCACACTACGTAGCTTTTTCGGAGTCACAGACCACACTCTGACAGTAGAGTCAGCAAAGCCTCCTACAATCATGCTAGAGTCGTCTGTAATATCCACTGCAGTCAGACCCTATACAAACAATATAAATGGATATTTTGTGTATCTTTCATGTGCATTTCAAATATTACAAAATCCTAAGTACTAATAAAAAACTAATTCGACTTATTTACAAGAATAAGAGGGAATTATTCTAGGATAGAAATAAACACACATAAATTCTTGCACCATTAAAAATAAAGCTATATGAATGGAGTACAGTCAAATGACAAAACAGTACTGTATTTTGGTGCAAAACATGTACTGCATTCCACAGAATACACTTACGGCCCCACAGGAAAAGCAAAAGAAGGAATTACAGCAAAATCAGCACAAAACCGAGGAACATGGAAATTATACAGTTTAAGGAGCCTTTAAAGAGAATTTTGAACATTTTGGAACATAAATTTCACAATGCTTATTTCAAATACTCCAATAACCCTTGCCAATGCTGTTAAGTCTTCTTTCTTAAGAGTGATGTTTATAATTTTGATACCCTTTTCCATATTACCCAAACTCTTCTTTTACTAACCTGGTAAGCATTAAGGAATGTATAGAAACAGATGGAGGGCAGGCACTCTGGGCCAAGACGCACACGCCTTGCAGCTTCCTTCATATTCATTACTTTATCCAGCTTATCAGAGTCTTTCAGTTCAGGCAGAGGAATTCTACAAGAAGCACACATTTTTGCAAACTAAAAGCACCTTCCATATGTTAATCTAAACAAAGAAAGCAAAACCTTTGCATGCAACCCTATACCTCAATATTCAAATACAAAACAAGAATTAGAAAATACGAAAGGCTACATAGAAGATTAACTGATGAGAAAAAGAGCAAGCAACCGTAGGAATTTCAGACAGGCAGTGGAATGAGATAAATAATTGAGTATGACCCAAAAAGACTGGTGGGTAACTGAGTAAAATTTTATCAAGAGAAATCTTCAACTTGAAGGGCAAAGACGGAGGGTTATATGCTAAGCTTTCCATTACTTCCCTTAGAAGTCTTACAGCTAAAGCTGTGTACAGCCAAAATGGCCAAAATGCTAAAAGTGTCATGTGAACAGCAATGCACATTTGGCACGGCAAGACTGGGTTTAACAAGACTTCTCTACACCTTGTTCCCTTGGTACCTGTTTTGGGGAGGAGCATTAGGGTCTTGTTTTTTACTTTTTGACCCTACACTATCTTTTTTAGGTTTTTTCTTCTTTGGCTTTCCTTCCTCATTTTCTCCTTCTTCATCTTCATCATCCAAAGGCACATCAAACTCTGGTTCTTTCAATAAGCCGAAGAAAACCTACAAGCCAATAAAACACATAAAACAGTAATTGCTGGGTTTACTGCAAACTAATTTTTTTAATGGAAACTTTTCAACGTAACAGTCCATGCAATACAGCTTCCCCTTTAAAACTTTAACAGTCCTGCATACATTACTGGTTCACCCACAGCCAACGCAGCACATGTTCTGCTGTTTCACCCAGCAACTGATCTGGACGACTGCAAGTTCTCCCACCATTTCTTAGTGCTCCCTTAAAGCAGAATCCCTACAGCTTACAGAATTTATCTGTATGGTACTGTGGTACTACACTGTCAAGACCTACATTAACAGCCCTTGCAGAAACAACTAGCAGTAAGTAAGAATTATATCTGTTGTACAAAAGAAAAAGGCAGGTGTCCATTTTAAAACCACAGAGCAATTAATGAGTCAGTTTTAGTCCAGTGGGCTGAATACAAGGTTGTCTCTCAAAGGGGTTCAG